TATACATCTCATTTCAAACGTCCACTTCAACCTGCCATTCTGCCGTAGTGATCTCCTTGGACGCTTCTCTGTTAGCCTTTGACCATGTATTCGAACTAAGGCTTTTATTTTGTAAGAGCTTCATAGGCTTAGATAAGCTGTGGTTTCTCTCCAATGCAACGTTCTTTGTTGAGTAAAACTTTCGATGGGATCTTTCCTGAAGGCGAACACCGATTCGCAGAACTCCTTCATTGCCAATGTGGTCCGGCAGGTCTTCGCAAAAATCGCCTATGAATCTTACAAAATCCCGTCAAAATCCCGCCAAAACGTTCTCGAAAATACCTTCAAGTATCAATTGTGGATTGTGGTGATTACCAATGCCAATGCAGCGAACTACACTAATAGACTATTCCCTGCGGTTGAGCACTGGGTGTGTCCTTTCACATTGGTGATGATGTGGAGACACACTTGACCGGAAACTGCGATCGTGCATGAGAAACGTCAAAGTTGAAAACTACTTCGAAGGCAGTTGGCACGATGGTTTCCTACTTAGCCTAAAATGCTAGTAGGGCGCTGTATAGTGGGGAAATGGCGAAAGAACGGAGTGAAACGGTCAAAATCCGGCGAAGAAAAAGCCTCCGTTCTCAGTGACTTGTAAATCGATTTCGGACGAGTTTCCCGTACGCATCTTGCCAATCACCGCTACCGAAGGTACGGGCATATGTGTACCCATATATGCATGCAGCATCACCGCCGCTTCATACCAATCCCTTTGCTTCATAATTTGCTCAGCAAATGAATGAATACGAGCGTCAGAAACGGTCGTCCGTTTGGGGGGCAGTGGCAAGGAGGCTGGTTGGGACCGTTAAAGTCTGTCGGCGGCTTATAGGGACTTTGTTATACGGATGTCACCCCCTTCTTGGGGAAGGCTTCCACAAGGAATGTCGAGCGAGTCACGATTCTGTGAGCCAGTTTGGTACACAAATCTAACCTGCTATATGCGATTTTTATCGTGCCAACTGCTTTCTAAACCGCAGGTCGGTTAGTGTTTCCCTAGCCATCACATCGTAATAGTTACTGTTTACCGCAACCCAGTGAACTTGTGTTACTCTTCGCGTCGCCAAGTGCCGCGCTAAAGAACAGCTATAACAAAACAAGTTGGTACACTCGCCACTGCAATAATGACCGTGAACACATCCTGTAAATTCCAGTTTGTTGTTACTTCTCAGACGTTGAACAACGAGAATGTTCGTCTATTTGTCCTCGATTTCTCTCATTCCTATCTTCTTTGCATGGCGGAATAACAGCGAATTCTTGACCCTCATGCTATCTGATCTGATGATTGCAGTACCTTAACCTTTCCTATTCCGATCGAGAACACGGTCAAAGAGAACCTACCCACAGGAATGAGGACTTCGCTTCCCAACTTAAGTATCCCTACAATGCGACTCCCACTGTGGGAAAGAACGGGCACATTACGTGTGAATTTTTACTGAGCACGGATCCTTCTCAGGATACCGGCATGATTTCTCGTGTCGGCAACTCTACATAACCACTAAACGACGCTTTTCATAACTTAGCTACTCTCTGACTAACTTTTCGCGACTTTTTCCGTCGACTGGGAGGGACGAAGGAGGGGACGTCTATCTCAACTCTCAGAAAAAGATAGTCTTGCAGCGAAGCCTACCACTGGTACATAGAAAATCCTCTTCCAACAAAACACGACCCCTTTCCAACAGCCGACTACAGCCCTACTCCCATCGTGTGTTTTATACAACAGATGGTGAGCCTTGATCCCATCTCCTTTCCAAATAAACACAGAACTCTATGGCATGAGAAGGAACGATGAATAGCTGAAGATGCCAGCAAATTACATGTCACTGACCGGGGCTGGTCACGGTTGAATAGAAAAGGGAAAATTCCTGAATTCTCCCCTAAATTCATACACTCACTCTCTATCGTCCCCCCCGTCTTCAGCTATCCCCGTGGTCTGTTCCCAAAAAAACTTTGCAATGATGGTGTGAAAACAGTGAGAGTTCTGCCTGTTGTGGTCAGGTTACACCTGCCAGTCCCACCAACATTAATGAATGACTCTCATTGTGTCCCGTCATGTCGTATAAGCGAAAAACTATCATCATGGACTTGCCATTGCCCTGCTATTGATCACACTACCAAAGAATACCGTTTGCAACCCAACGACACTCATTTCAGTGATTCTCACGCTGTTTTTTATTTCACAAAAATCCGGCCCAGTTTCGGAGTTCTCCCCCATATGAAATCTCTCTAAAACTGAGCCTTTTCAAGTCTCTGGTTTCCGTTCTGTGAAGTTTCTAGTGGTACCTTTTTTCAGAACACCAACTCTGCTTGAAAGATGTCCTTTCTAGGAGGACAAAAAGGACAGTCCTCCTATGGAACTCGATCCATTGCATACTTCCCCCGCCTTCGCTTCGGCCGGTGCAACGGAAACTGGACACGCTGGTGGATTAAATCCAGCACTCAACCCAATATCTTTTGAGTTCGGATCTCGAAAAGGCCTCAGATCTTATTTGAATAAAGGGCGTCAACACAGATTAGTACATACTCTGAAACATGGCGACGTTCTATGGGGTGGACTGCTGGCCTTCTTCATTGCCGGAACGACAGCCTTTGGAGACAGTCCAGAACATGCACTTCCCGCCGTCGGGAAAGTTATTGTAAAATACGAGCTGTTCGAAAATGTTCGTCCCAGGACAGGAAGGGCGCGGCTGTGTACTTTCATACTGAAGTGATCGTAGGATGAGGTGTTCCTGTGTTGTGTTCATTTGAGGCAGCTATTATTATGTGTTGTGCTGAGCAGGCTGATTCCGATTGTCCCAAAACAATTCGGCGCTGTTTATCGACGGGGGAGGGCATTTTGTACTATCACTGCTTCCCTTGTTCCGGTTTGCAAATGGTAGAACTTGTGAACTCTTGTAAAGCTGGAGCAGGATCGTCTAGCCACCATCCGAAAACGTGTCAACTCGAGAAAACGCTACCTAGATGGGTCGACACATCTATGGAAAGCAAAATGCCCCCCGTCCCCCCCCCCGCGTCGATAAAACTGGCCCAATATTCTTCCACCGAAAGGGTAGAAGCCGCTGCTTTCAAATGAACGACGCAGCCACGCCCTTCCCGTCTGCAAGGTATGGAGTGTAAATGTGTGGAAACTTGATGATGTGTTAGCAAACTGTTTTTCTCTCAACATGTAATTGCAATTACAGATCATCTTGAAATAGTTTCTTGAACTATTTCGTTCAGTTTTCTAGGCAAGTTCTGAGCAAGGATGTTCTGTCCCAAGGGAACCAGCTGTTGATTTATTATTCGATTGTTCGGCGTTTACTTGTGGTCACGTACTGACTTCCTTAGTTATCAATGTTGACTGGTGATGGAGGTGCTACAGTGTTGGCGGGCCACCTTCTCCTCCACCATCAGGCGTCTACCACCTCCTCCTTCCCCCCCCCCAGCTCACTTGGGTCCTTTCGATCTGCTTTATTATATCTCTTTAATTTTTGTCGTTACCCGTTATCGACTCTGTGTTGCGATAACTACGTCGGTAGTTGTGCTCCTACTACAACCGTTACAAAAATCTGCTACTTCATACAACTAACCTCATTTTTTCAGTACTTGTGTTCGCGCTGTTCAGACGTCAGTAGCCGCTTTAGCAAGTATGCATGAACCTGATCTCACTGATCCAAAGAAACTGGCACTTCATAAACTGTACAGACCGGAAAGAGTCACTCCAAATGAGAGGGGGTATCAACTTCTCAATACTCCTCGCATAAACAAGGTTAGTTACTATTCCATATTTGAGCGCTGTCCACAAGCCAAGTATTTCATGTATAGAGCTATAGCAGCGTAGTACAAAATCATCGAGTCAAGGAGTTGCCTCTTCGCGACCGCTCGCGTCTCTCTAATGATTATCCGCGTCTCTTCCAGTTAATGACGTAAATTTCATGGTGTACAAAACAGTCTGAGCTAAACACGTGAACATAAATATATTGCGCAAAATGATGTGTAAAGAATATAGCGAAGGGAGCCTAGGTTCGGCTAGGAGGGAGGGGGGAAGCGTTATCTTTCGCCACTGGCCATCGTCGCTTTTCATTGGCCTACTAGAGTAAAAGTATCTTACAGGATGACAAGCATCTCGATAGACCTATCACGTTGGGGCACTCATGGCTTCGCAAGATTTCACAAATCTCTACTTGCCGGCAACAAGGCGATGGGAAGTAAAGAAAATGCAAAATGCCTCCCCAAGCCGAACTGCGCCTAAATATTATTGTCCTGAATGAAACTTAAATTGCTAACAAGGAAATGATAATGTTTAAATAAAAAAATATTAGAAAAGTGAAATCGCGTAGAAAGCAATTATCTCGCCGCTATCACATGCCAACATCTGTGGCTGGCATTCCCTGACTATCTTTCATTTTTTCTCCAACTGAAAGGTGAGGAGCGCGTTGAGCTGATAATTAGAGGATGAGGACATTCAAACGGCTCCTCGCTCACAAATAGACTAAGGTAACGAAGATGAGGATTTTCGCCTAGGTCTGAAGGGGAAATGAGCTGGGGCGTGGGCGAGCTGACCTGAAATATTAGCGATAAGGCAAGTTTCGTACTAAAAGCCATTCGAAAAGCCCTCGAGGAAGCCTCGTATAAAGTCTTTTGTTCCCCTCTACGCCCACTAAGGTTGCTAGAACCCAATATTTATCCATTTCTGTGGTCATGTTAATTTCAGGCTTTTTAGGGCATGGCATTCTCCTTGTACGAACGTCAACATCTTGGAATTCATGGACTATTGCCGCCGGCCTTTATGACTCAAGAGCAGCAGGTATATCGTACGATGATGAGAATCCGAGAGCAAAAGGACAACTTGTCGAAGTTTATATCACTTCTTTTTGGCACCTGTTTCACGACAATACTATCTTTTTCTCATTTTCAAGGTATATTATCCTCGATGAACTACAGTGTCGCAATGAAAAGTTGTTCTATCGAATTCTAAGTGAAAACGTCAGGGAATTGATGCCTATCGTTTATACTCCTACAGTCGGTTTGGCTTGTCAAGAATTCGGACACAATTACAGGCATCCAAAGTAAGTTCATTATCTGATTTGTATTTATGACACAGTTGGCTAGGGAGGGAACTGCGGCATTTGAAGGCCTCCTTGTGCAGAGCTGGGACTGATTCTTCTAACTATAGCTGAGAAGTTCCCTAGAATGGTGGATCTCCGGACAAGGGGAATACCAGTTCTGCACAGACAGTCCTTTAGATGTCACCGTAGACCAGTCACCTGCCAGGCATTTTCTTCGGCGCTAACAAGGAAAGGATGGTTGGTCGAAGTGGCCATTTGAAATGAGATGAATGTTTTCCAAGAAAAGCCCTATTCATGGCATGACAAGGTTCCCTGATCATGCTAGGCTGTGTTAAAAACTTCCAGAGAGCACTGCTGAAACAATGCAAAAGAGCACGTCCATCAAGGTCTCGAACCTCTGACCTCGTATACTCGACATACTACCCACTAGGCTACCGAGCACACCGCTTGGCGACTCACGTCTTATTTGTATACCAAGCTCTACTGTGCTCCGTACAACAACCTCCTGCATATCTCTGCTCAAAGAATCGTTCAGCAGATATGGAATAATGAGATTTTAGTAAAATTTTGAGTGAAATTTTTTAGTATTTTGATTGTTAGGTTCCTTACTACACTTTTCCTATCTAAGTTTAGAGGGGGTGACTCAAAGAAGTAGCTTAGTTTCCGTTTCGCACGTGCCCTTAGACGGAAACCAAGCAGTTTGTAATATCCTCCTTCTGTGCTCATCAGTAAGGGAA